TACTCTTATACTCTTTTACTCTTGTACACATCACATAATGCAGTTTTAATGACCATACTTCAAGTATATTATAATGGTATATACTTATAATTTTGTTATTTTTAATAATCCTTTTTAATTATTATTATCCTTAAATATAAAGTGAATAAATGTACGCAATATCATCAACCCAATTCTCTTATTTTTTTGTTTCTTTTTTTTCTGGCTTTTCTTTTCTTCTTTTTCTTTAACATTTTATCTTTCTTTTTTACTTCTTTTTAGTGTTATTTTCTTTCACTTTAAGTGCTTTATTTAATCTTGTTTTTTTGTGAAGTTACAAGAACAAAATGGCGAATAACCTCCAAATTTTGCATTCCCGTTTCTTATAATTTTTGTTTTGGGAATCGTTTTGACTCTTGTATCCCTACTTCCTTCTTTAAAAATTTAAATATATATTTGTCACTATTTAAATATATATTTGTCACGGTTCTACCTTTAAGCTTGCAGAAACGATTTACCGTAGCAATAGAACTCAGTTCGAATTAAGAGCTATAAATGATGTTGTTGTATGAAATTATAAGTCATAACTAATATAAGAAATTTTGAAAAAGTTTTCATATCAAGGTTTTCTGAATTGATTTGCCCACAAAATTTTATTGTTCCTTTATATCTTAACTCAGCAAATGCTTTGTGTTAATTTTCATCTGAATATTTTTGATCTCTTTAAACATATCTTAAGATTACGAGCTCAACTGAATACATTTGCACATACCTATACATAAATTTTTACGCTCTTTTTGCTTTTATAATTATTTTGTCCCGTCTTCTTATATTATAACTCCTTAATAAAAATATGGTTAAACAGATTAAAAGTATAAATTCTTGTAGGTACATAAATAAAAGAATTACACTCATTTTCATACATAAATTTTCTCTATATATACATATGTATATTCAAAATTACATTGGATTCATACAAATTATACGACTATTATGATGAAATAAAAGAAAAAGAAAAGACATAATAAATAAAAGGTTAAAAAAACAAGATTATAAGAAGATACTGTTGAACACATGCAAGACACGTGGCACAAATTTAAATATCATGTATGTATATTGTATGTATGAACAAAAATAACAAAACAAAATGAATCAACAGGCGAAGAAAATCAATCGCAGCACATCACAATTGAGTTGAAAAAAAAAGGATATTCTATGTAACAATACATAAGTGACTATGCAGAAAATTTGTTATTCAATAAAATAATTTATTTAATATTAAATGAAATAACAATTAATCAAAATCAATAATGAGATAGGCAGTGATAAAAAAATAGACTTCTTTTGAACCCATAAATGATGAAAATTAAAAGTTTGTTTTGTATAAAAAAAAGGAATGCAACAAATCAATTTATTGGCACGTGCCATGTGTGTAGGTACATAGTGTTGTAGGATAAACCGGTTTTAAATTAATTAATATGAGTGTTAAATTGCTTGTTTGCTTTCAGTTCAGAGTATTATAACCTCATTTTAGGTTTTCAATGAATTTTTAACCCTTTTTTCTCTTAAGTATTTTTTATTAACTTTAACGCATTGTAATTATTATGGTGAACTTCAATTACACGCCTAAAATGTTTAGTGAATTACATCTAGATGATGCCATTTGAAGTGATTCTAGAGCTATATGATAATGAGCGAAATTTTCTAAAAACCCAGAATTCTCTTATTGTCTGTCGCAAATTTTTGCCCAAATCCCTTATATATAATTTTTTTGCCACATCTTTAAAGTAATCTACAAAAAAAAATTTAATTTATAAGGAAATCTCCTTCCTTTTTCAGTTTTTCTTAATTTAATATATGTATGTATTCATAATAATGTACATATATTTTATATTACACACCCATAAATTGTAAAAATATAATATATCGACATTATAGTGTTCGTAAGTATGTACATGCATATAGCACCAATTCTTGATAATATATTAACTCCCAGTATGTTGATTGACAACAAGTGTTAAATAAGAACTTTTATTTTCATGTAAAATTATTGAGCAATTCATCAAAAAATCATTAATTTTAATCAATTAATTATGAAAAAGTAAAGATAATTTTTTACAATTAATTAATTTTTAAATATTATTGTTGAAAAATTATAATAATAATATATGTACATATATACTTAACTGAAATATTGTAAATATAGCTCATATAACAACAATAAGCCTTAATAAATAAATGGAAAGAAAGAGAAAGAAAGAAAAACAAAAAATTATGTGTGGAAAAGGAGGTAACGATGCATACCACATTATTGCCAATTTTGTTGTTGATATTGTTGCTGTTTTTTAATGTCATTTAATTTATAGCACATTAATAAAAATTTCCTATTAATTACACTTTTTTTCCTCATACAGCTCATTTCAATTTTTTACTCATTACCGTTGCTGCTACTAAAAAACAAAAAAAAGAAGTGAAATCGATTTTGTGTGCGCATACGTTGGTATAGGTATGCTTCGCATATATCGAACATTAGCGTACTTAATATCAAAACGTAGTTATACAAATTTAGTATTGGAATAGCGACAGATTTCATAAGTATAGGCATAATAGTGATACCTACTTCATATATGCATTGTGGAAAAGCCGCATATACATATTCTCTATATAACAATACAATTGTCAAAATTACTCTGTAATCGGAAATTGAACGTGAAACACGTACATAAGGCGAAGACACGCAAGACAATGAAACTATAAAATCTACTGTGATAAGCGCTTGTAAATTTAAAATAATTTTGCGTCAAACAAGTTGCAATTGTTAATTTATTGTTTCTTTAATCCACTATCATATCGTGATCCAACTTATTGTATTTGTGAGAATATTTTACATTATACTTCACAAAATCTTGCAATAACTGCTGTTATTCACAAAAACAGAAGCTCTTTTTTTTGTCAAATTGAAAATTATTAATAGACGCATAATCTTTCACCTCATATGATAATACGAGTAATTGTGTTTCAAAAAATATAATGAGAATTACATCACAAATTATACATAGAGCACTCGACAACAATATTAAATATAATATAAAGAGTAAGGAATGTAGTTCGAGAAAAATTATTACAACTGGTACATATAAAATTAAATAAAACAAATGTTATTATTTCCGGTCAGGTAAGTTGCAATTTTAAAATTATAATGAGTTATTATTGATAAAATGTTATTTTTAGTCGGATTTTGTTTTTGAAAGATGAAAGAGAACAACGCAAATGCATAATATCTTGGTTGTATGCCATATCAAATTTTAAATCGTTGTTTTATGTGCGGCAATAATGCTGTTTAAATTCAATGAAGAACTTTTATAAACAGCAGCATTTCTGTAAACTTGTGTTAATGTAAAACCTACGTGCACAATAATAAATTATATTCAAATATTTTTTTTTTGTGAACAAATTATATATATTTTCCTTTTGTATTATTTTTTTTATTTATTGTATAATATTTTTCATTTTTAATTATCCTGAATAACAATTCATTAAAAAATTACACTTTATTTTCTATATTATTTTTTTATTCATTGTAAATATTTTTTAGATCATTTTAAAAAAATATAAGTAAATTCATAAATTTTATATTATAAAAATTTTTTTTTATACATAATTTATTTATTTAATTATACAGCTTTTATCACTTATTTATCGATGACTAGTTTCAAATCTCAAAAAAAAAATTAAAATTTTTTTTTATATTTTATAAAAAATGTAAAGTCCGCATACTTTAGAACTGTGAAATTCAGTGATGAAAATCTTATGCAAATTAGGTTCATTGAAATTTTTGGAAAATAATAATTTTGTAATTAAATTCTCTCGAATGATTTTTTGCAATTGAAATTGGTTATTGAACTCAGTGCTGATAATTGAACGGTTTTCTGTTACAAAAACCTCAGTAGCTTTTTGTTGATTTCAAAATTAAAGATAATTTTAATTCAGCTAATTACTATTTTAGAAACAAATTTAATTGATTACAATTTGACTCGTTAAGTCCACTTGGAATAGATTTTATTTTCTTACATGTTTCCTTAAACAGCTATGACTCACACAATTAAAAATAAATTAGTCATTAAATGTTTTTTGAAGTTTTTCAAGAAATTTTTTTAAGAATATTACACTGAATGTTCAACAATATATCAGAAATATTTTGGAAATAAATGAATTTATGAATAGTGAGCATTGAGTTCAAAGTAGTGAGTGAATTAAAGTAATTAATGCAACCCAAGCTATTCCAATTCGATTGCTCATACACACTTAAACAAATTTTAATATTTTTCTTTTTTACGTAGAACGTATAAAAATACCAATGGTTTGTAATGCCATTCATTTCTGGGTCTATTTCTCCCATCGCACTTTTTGATTATGTAAAAATTATCCACATAATATTTTTTCTGTCTTTGTACTTACTGCAAATTTTAATAATTAATTTAGTTTAGTTGCACTCATGCGTAAGCATGCACGTAAATCAAGGAAGATGTCTGTAATCTTGTTAATTATTAAAATTAAGCCTTTTATTCATCACTGAATTTTTCTATATATTTACTTTACACTCTTAATATTTTTATCTATATAAATTAAATTTTTTAATATTAAAATTGAATTTTTTTTCTTTACATTAAAAAGTTTTTTCTTTAATTTAAGCAAAAATTATGATAAAATAAAATTTTTATTTGTGATAAATTTAATTTCATTCACTAACCTTTATTATGAATGATTTTATGCTCTAGTTGTGCATAAGATTTAATAGAATAATATGAGAAAACACAAAATGCAATAATAACAGTATAAAATACTAATTAGCTAAAAGAGAATGAATATACGTAGAAAATGATTTTCTCATATAGTATAAAAATATCAGTGCATATAAATGTTAAAATTCACATAATATACACACATATACACATAAACTATAATAATGCACATATAATACGTATATACAATGCATGTATGCGTTTTCATTTTATCCTTTCTTAAGCATTCAAATAAGGACGATAATTTCCTTGTTCTAACATCTTTGAAGAGGGATAAAATGGTTTCAATTGTGTTTGTATGTCAAAATGATGTTGATTGTGATGTTGATGATTACTTTGTATACTTGGTTCTGATGGTATTGATAATGATAATTCTGATGATGGTGTTCCTGTTATTGTTGAATATGTTGATTGTTGATTATGATTATAATTTTGTTGTTCTTGTTCTTTATTATAATGCCGGTTATTTGATTGTTGTTCTTGTTGTTGTTTAACAGTTTCATATTCGGATGAATAATTACTGTGATAGTAGTTGTTTTTAAGTACCTCAATATTCAATTCATTGAATTCCCCCTCTTTATAGTAAGGTGGTTCAGTTTTTTGTGGATAACTATTATTATTGTTATTATAACTGTTATACATTGATGAAGGTGAAGTTGTAGTTGAGGGAAGAGAAGAGTTTGCAGCTGCATCAAATGTACGTTTGAAAAATTCATAACTGTGACGAGTATAATTGCATGTTGTTAAAGGGTCCTGTTGATATCCTTGTTGTTGGTGTTCTGATTGACGATTTTGATTATGAGCAAATTGATTTGAATTTTTTTGATGTTGTTGTTGTTGTTGTGTTGTCAATTCATATTGTTTCATACTATTATAAAAATCATTCGTTGTAAAACCTAATCCAGATTTTGTTTTATTTTCCATTAATCCTGTAATCCCAATTGCATTTGAATTATGCTGTGAAAATGCATCATGAAAGTAACAATTATTTTGTATAAATAGAATATCAAATAACTCTTTTGTTATACGTTCACCGCTTAATGTAACATTTAATAATTTTTCCAAATCTAAATTTATAACACAATTTCTTTCTAAAATTTGTCCTAATGAAAATATATAGTTATGCGCAAATCTTAATGTTTCAATTTTTGTTAATTTCGTTTCGGCCGGATATGTTGGTAATATAAGACGTAATTGTTCTAGAGCGTCATTTAACTGATGCATACGATTCCTTTCACGATCATTGGCCATCATACGGCGATGTTTTTTAATCCGTGCAATTTGTGTTGGGCTACGAGCTCTTGCCAAACGATTCTTTCCCACAGCATACTTACGTTTTGGTCTATTTTTTTCCGAATTATTATCACCATTTTTAATTGGTGTTGAAGTTTTATCATTATCAAAAAATTTTGGATTAAATTCTTCACCCCAACTATCAGATTTTTGAATATCATCTCTAGGTGATGTTTCCAATTGAAATAGATTGTTGTGTGTAGGTGATTCACCTGTTGCATTGATCGATCTTCTCCTATTTGATGTTAAGGGTGTGCTTGTTGCTGTTGCATTTTCAAATGTTAACTTTCTAGGAGTATATTGAGTGCATTCCGTTTCAAAACTTTTCTCGTAACCGCTATCAAAGGAAGAATCATCGAACCCGAAAGAATGATCATCGAATTGTAAACTTGCACAGGATGACATCCTCTACACACAATATACGTGGAAATTAATTAGAATTCTTTTAATTATTTAAACATGTAACACATTAATTTTTATAATCATATTGTTAACTTTAAATTTTATTTTTAAGAATTTTAGTAAAATCAATAGTTAATAAATTTTTTTTCAAGTTAATCCGATGCTAATTAATAGCGGAAAGACGAAATTTTCTTAAAATTTTTTTATTTCCTTTTCTTTTTTGTGGTATTAACAGTTCTATAGTTAAAGTGCAACTAACAATTATAATTTCATTGCTCATAATATAGTATCGCTTCATATTATATTTTTTTTTACTTTTGGTAGTTCTCGTGTACGTTACCTTCACTTTTATGTACACACGTACAAACATATTGCGAGTATATTAAATGCTCACATCTGTTAGATTTTGATTTTTAACGAACATCAGTAAATTTAAACTGAATGAGGTAGGTATTTGTACGCTAAATGTATGATTGTACATACATATATATTTATGTATATATGTCAATATGTAAGAAAATAAACCGTTCTATATTTTAGCCCTAAATGCACATCTGTTAGATCTGATTTTTAACGAATTTTTTTTTGTTTTTTTTTACTTTCTTACTTTTTATACTCTTTTTCTATATTTTGATTTTTCAACCCCTCAGAGAAAAGAACACTTTGCAAATAAACATTTTTGTGAAAACAATACGGTTCTAAGGGGACAGCTGGTCTTCCCTGTACCTAATCATTTCAAAAATAAAAAAAAAAAACGTTTTTTTTTTTAACTTTTGTTATGATCAACTGTAGCTAATGTTAAAAGAATTGTGTAGCAAAATCGTTATTTCATTTATAACAATATCAAATAATTTGCTCATGCCATATAAAAATATTCTGTAATAGGGCTTATTCTGAGAAACGGGTAACTAGTAGTAGTAATTATTCATAATAGTTTATTATTATTGTAATGGTAATGGATTATTATTCATAATAAATTGAATTCTTCTTAACCAATTCACACAAATGGTTTGGGTCTATAATAAAATTTTAAAGATTTAAAACTTCATTATTACTTACTAGAGAATCGCTGAGTAAAGCGCTTTGTATAGTAAATTTTTCAAATTTTGGGTGCTCATTCTGCACCATTATAACAACACAAGATTTAAAGCTATAATAAATTCACACACAAATATTTGATATTAAATACTTTAGACAGAATGAATTGTCAATATTTTTGAAATATTAAAAAGATGGCTACTTCATTCATAATACTTATTGTAAAAGTTTTAAAAAACTTATTGAAGACACGAACCGAAAGTGTGCTTTGATAATAGTGATTTTATAACTTTTCTTTTGACTTGCTCCACCATAATTAATTTGTTCACAACTAGTTTTGTTTCGCACCGGTCTCTCTTTTTTACAAAATTAATCTTATCGAATTGTAATTATTACATTTTTTCTACATTCATTCGATGTTCCATATGCCGGCACTTTGTCTAAAATTCACCACATTCCTGTATGAATTTCGACTTATATTTTTTATCCTAATATATACAGGATCACTCAAATTTGATTTGTTTAAGAAATGTTTGTGTTTTTTTTTTTTTCTTTATTTTAGAAACGTTAACAAGCCAATACCACCAATGCGTGCTTATAATATTCTAAACACATATTCATATACGTAGTATAAATATTTGTTTGTAGATATATGTGTGTTATTCTTTCCTTAATATTCACTTGCTTTATCCTTTTTTATTATTTTTGAAAATTGTTTTTTGTTTGTTTTTTTGTTTTGTTTTTTTTTTTTAAATAAATTTTTTTGGTGAATTAAAATAAAAACTATATAGAGGTAGTGATTGTTCAAGGAGAGTAAAATATATAGACCTAGGGTATGTGTAGCAGTAAATTCATACTTATGTACGCACTCATATACGAGTACGTACATTTATGAATGTAGCCTGCATGTACGTTTGATTATGTGCATTAAAACGGTTAAAATTTTTCTAGATGTTACAATTTGACATATAAATATAGTGACACATTTAATATAAACTGACATTTTATTGGTTTAACGGTATAAAGAATAAAAATATAAAATGGAATTTGTAAAAAAAAAAAAAATAATGAAAAATTGAATTGAAAACTAGCAAAAAGCAAAAAAAAAAGAAACAAAAAATAATTGTGAATGGAAATGACGGACTCTCATGTTTACATTGCAATCCCTAGTGTATACAAGACTAATGAAGTAACGAGTTTGGTTTTTAGTACTTGTTGTATTACCGATGCTTTTTCTATTTTCTCTTTTTGTTTTTTTCTATTTCAACCTATACTGATTTGTTTGTAGTTTATATAAGTCACACTTGTTCGCAACGGTATAAATAATATACAGTTAAAATGAAATTTATGAGGGTATTAAAATAATTCCTTTTTTTTCTACATTCTTACATACATACTTAGTTAGATTTATATATTTGCTTTTGTGCATATGTATTCATTAGTGTGTGTACAGTACGTAAATAAATATTACTTAATATGTACTTAGTCTATGTTTGATGGGATGTGTGATGCATGCATGTAAGTATGTATTAAAAAAAAAAAAATTAAAAATTATATCTGTACTTTGGGTATACTCAAAAACATATTTATTAACCTTCTAAACGCAATTTTATGAAATAATAAATTTTGTAATATGTAAATAAGATAAAAAGAAATTGGTGTACAAGTTTTAATAAAAATTTAATATTGAATTAATTTAAAATTATTGAAATATCAATTTAAAACATTGCATAAACACACAAATATTTGCAATAAAGATCATTTTATATTAAGATTTTGTGAAAACTTATGATGAAATTGATGACTCGTTAACCTATGATTCACGAATTGAATATAATTTTTGAAATTCAAAGAAAATTGAATGTCCGTCGCTTCACAAATTGTTTCCAAACTCTGCGTCAGTTCTGAGTGAAAAAAAAATTGGCGCTTGCTAAGCTACATGAAAAAAGCTGTTCTTTACAAAAAGAGTGTGCAAAGGTCAGTTTCATACTTACTTTCTAATATCCTAGTTTTGCTATTTTCCTAAGAAAAACTCTGGTAGTTGTTAACGTTAATTATGGTACATCGACGGTTTTGAGCTAACTATCAACAAATTTTTACAGCAATAAGAAATTTTGGGTGTACAAAGTTTCTTTTTATAATCACATTTTGCTACCCCAGTTTTGCTTGAAAAAGTGTGATCTTGAAAGTAATAATTTTGTATTTTAAGAGTATGGATAAAGATGTTATAGCGGAAATCTAAAAGTTGTTGTATTAACGGAACCATATCCTAGACCATAAGTTACTTCTTTAATTGACTTGAGTTGGTTAGAGCTGAAAACTTATATTTTTATAATATAGGAGTCGTCGGGATCGGAAATTTTCAATTGTCAATTCATGATGGTTGGCTTATAAAAATGGTATGCTCTGGAATTTTTTTGGGATGTTGTACTGTCTTTGAGATCTCTGCAATTTGACGAGACTGTAGTATTGATATTATTGGAGGGCTTGTGTGAAATACTCGTTATAATAGGTATTAGGATCTACAGGATCAAAGTGGGCAGTGCTTAAAGAAGTTGCAAGGAGTTGATGAGAATTAAAGAAAAATACCGAGAAGAAAAAAGAGATTCATCGAAAAGTATAAAAATGTGTATACATACAGACTCATCTGCATGTATACCGAACACATTCGTCAATTGGTCGTACGATATTTATACCCGTACGAACGTATGTTCGAAGGGTATACTAAATTTGCCTTTTCATTTGTAACGCTAAGAAATAATGGTCAGAGATATAGACTCAGGTGTAGGCTTTTGATTAGCGTCGAATTTTGAGTCGATTTAGATTTGTGGGTCCGTCCGTTCATCCGTACGTCTCAGCGATAACTCAAAAACTAATTGAGCTAAGTTCACGAAATTTTCACAAATGATTTATTGTAGTAAGTGCCAGAACCCTATTTAAATTGTATATGATCGGGGTACTGGTTCGGATAGCTGCCATACAACTTCAAAATTTATTTGGCTATATCTCAGAAACTATAAAAGCTGTGGTATTGAAATTTCACACAAGTAAATATATAAGTAGAGCCGATATGTTTGATAAAACTCGTTGAACTTTCTTGGCTCCTTCTGTCACCTGCCATACAACTTCAATAGTAGTTTGGCACACACAGTATTTTGAAAAACACATAGCACTGAAATTTTGCATAAATTAATATGGTAATACGGCAACTTAAAGTCATAGTTTGTCCCATAATCAGCTATGACATATTTACTCGCACATAAGATAACAAATTCGTACGGGTATCACAGAGTTGACACGGTCAACTCTATTTTTTCTCGTTTTTTTCTAATACATATACCCTCATATTATAATGTTTTACAAAAATCAGACGTGATTTTATGTTCGCATAACTTATTTTCTATGCTTTTTAAGTGAATCATGTATGTATCTACAAACATACGCAATTACATTGAAGTTGTCGGCATTTCTATTTTATTCGAGGATAATTTTATATTTTGCAATTATTCCTATATTTAAAGAAAAAACACCCCAAACAATTTTTATTTTACTTTTTATATTTTTTCCTTATTTATTCATTTTATAAAATTATAAATTTTTTTTATTTCGATTGTTCCAAAAATCGTTTTAACTATAGCCTACTAAACACCTTCTTTTTTTTTATTTTCTTAATAATTACTAAAAATAATTTACCCTTACTTAAAATTATTGAAGCTGAGAATTTTTTTGTTATTATTTTTATTATTATAAATAAATTATTATGGTAAGGACATGAAGTAAGAAGATTAGGAATTCAGGAGATTATTGTGTTGTATTTGTATTGTATTGTGGATAATTTTGAACAAAGATGTCTGCTGAAGTTGAAAAATCTGACTTAAATTTTTTATTTTGAAATTTTGTTTCTCTTTTTTTTTGCTGATTTTCATTCAAGAGAAATGAACTGAAATAAGTTTGATACAAACAAA